TTCACTCCTTTGGGTGGTATATTTCTACATTAGTATTCAGTAAAGGACAAGAGGGTTTCTACATAACGTGCACTGGGTAATTTTCCTGAACTTGTTCTTGTTCGTCTTTTAGTTTTAATTGAATTAACATCTTCTTATCTTATTTTCAACTCTAATTTGTGCAAAGGTCATGTGAAAGAATAAAACTGTTTTTGTGAAGCAAATGTGCAAGAATTCCTGACAACACTGAATATGTAACGTGGCAATTCCCTTGTCTCAATCTGATGAGGTGTCAGGCGGGTTGAAATGGAAGTATTCTGGGAAACACTGAACTATTCATTCAGATAAGCCTGTTTTACTGTTTAAGTCCAAAAACACATGTAAAACAGGCATGTTAGAAAATGCAAATCTAATTAAGAGTATAAGCTCAGTGGAAATGAGATCAGGACTTCCTGAAAAGAGACAAAGCTCACAACTTGATCACTTTACAGGGCCTGTTGTCATTTCTGCTCTGCGTTAACACTCGATGCTACAGAGCCCCGTCTCAAACATTCACACTCAGGCTCTCTGTGTTTGCTCTTGGTTTTAGCGCCTGCTAAGATACTATTGACGGTCAGTCAAGTAATGTCACCAGACCGTTTCTGGTCCAGCCTCACTGCAGCACTTAGGCGATGAAAGCCGGTCCTCAACGTCCCCCATCCTGCAACAAGTGCAGCCCCCTGTCAGCGCCACTCTGCAGATCAGCCTGACTGACGTAAGTAGTGTGGACAGATACAATTTCAGCCTGGCAACACAGCCAGGATCTGGCAACCCTACTCTGTGTTTACCTAAAGGCTAAGGCAGCTGAGCCCAGACCTCACCTGCTGGCCTCACTGGTTGCCATGAATGCTCACATAATCCCACTAAATCCATGCAAACCCAGAGCTGCTTCTTGTGCTAAAAACTGAGAGACCCTCCCACTCACTAAGACCTTCACTCGATTAAGAAACAGTTTGTGCGACGATCAGTTTTTCCATGGCAACTTTGCACAACTCCATTCTGCAGAGGAAAGTTCCCAGCCCTCAGTTGTTACACACACATCCCTTTTCCTTTATTCACCCTCTGTTACAGCATTTTATTACTCAAGTCACACTTTCCCCGTCATCTTGGGGTGCCTCATAATGAGTTCTCTAAGTGTTACAGTCTTCATGATAGTGTGCGCACAAGGGCTCAATTCTTTAAAAGGGCTACATTGTTTTTGCAGGTTTACAAAACATTTAAGTGGCCGTGTTTTTGACGACATTTAACTGTTAAACCAAGTCATAATAAATCAGCTTTTGCTGTTTTGTGCTTTCTTTTTCTTTGTGCTAAACTCTGTATGCTACCACTAGTTTAACTGAGCTGGTGTGAGTACAAATAAAGGTAAAATGACTGCTGCTGCAAGTGAATGTTTTAATTATTTAGTTATGGTTGTGGTGTCAATGATTCTGTATTAAGCATTGAAAATGTCCTTATTTTTGGTATGAAAGTCTTGAGGGAGAGGTAGGTTGAAAAAGCCATGTAATAGAACCAAATATATTATATATACCCCAGAACTATTTTACTGACCAGCCGACAAAATATTGACTCTTCATCACACTCAAATATTTGACATTAAAATGTTGTAGTTATAATCTGTAGTCAGTGTCCAGAATTCATTATTAGTGTATAAAAAACTACTGTATATATGTAGGGATCCAATTTAGTAGTCCAGGTTGGTATTTGGGAGAAATAGCCCCTTTAATCAGGTTTTTGCACAATTAAACAAACAGTGGGGCTCATTCTTCAATGTGCTATTTTAAGAAGCAGTGTGATGAAAGCCAAGCTCTCGTGATTTCTGTTGTATGGCGACCCCATGTGTGAGCAGACACCCTGCATCATGAAGGATTAGTAGGAATGTCTAGATCCACCATCAGGGATTTATTAATGGAGGCTGTTTTCCCTTTACAATGGGATGATTCATTTATGACGTCCCGTGCCATGAGACGGTGAGGTCATATTATGGATTCCTTCAGGGTGGACGTCACTTGAATGGTGAGAACATGCAGTGGGCCACCCCTGTGGAAACACACACACACACTCACACACACACTCAAACAGATACAGGACCACCACAGGATTCACACGGTCGAGCCTCCTTCAATTCCTGAAATTGAAGCACTGAGTACTGCCATAATTTATAGCTCGCACAGAAAAAGAAGAGGGGTGTGTGTTTGTGTGTGTGTGTGTGTGTGTGTGTGTGTGTGTTGGGGTTGTGACAAGAAAGGTCAGTGACCTCTGTGACTTGGCTAAAATCCCCATGGGCCTAATTCAGCATTGGAATGGACCCCACAGTGCAATGGGAAGATGCCTCTAACATAATGAACACAAAGGCCAATTGTGACTCTATTCTCTGAGGGCAGAAAGCAGCGGGCCCCGGGGACAGTAGAAGGTTTTGTTGGATGAAACGGAGAAGGAAGCCTGTTGCTCCAACAAGCTTCTGATAAGATTCATCAGCAATGACTCAACGCTGGCGGTTTGTCTCCCGGGGCGCAAAGTGTTAGATTTACATCCACTGTTTCTGTGCTGGTTGACTGAAGGGCTGATAAGTGACTCTCTTAGGCCAACTCACTGTCTTTTATGTGTTTTAGTGTCTCCTTAAAGAATATCTTTCCAGTAATGTCAATATTTGTTATGGTCCGTGAAACTGGTCCACTCTGGGATCAAGTGCCCTTTCTTTTACTGTCATAGATAAAAACAACCCAATGCATCATGGTCCTTCAGCGGTCGTTTCAACAACTTGGGTAGCGTTTACTGTGACGGCATGCAAAATAATAATTATAAACCAAGGACCATAATCCTAAAAGCTCCTTAAACAAGCATCTCAGCTTAAGTGTGTTTGATCAAATAGAAAAGGTATGCAACAGTAAAGAAAAAAACTTGTTTGCAAGACCAAGACACTGTTTAATCAGAACCGTATAAAATAATAGGGTTTTAGTGAAAATGCATGTTTGGTTAGCATACAATCACATTTTGCTAAACGTAATCCAAATGTACTTAAATTCATCAAGGCTTTTCTGGGTTTTTGTATTTAGTTTTCACAGCAAAAACATTAGAAAAGCTGAATATTCTTAATAAACAGGGGTGAGGTATTGATATAGAATTTTTTTTTTTTTTTGCTGAAGCATTCCTTTAACAGATTCAGATGTTCTGCAGTGCTGCACATTGGTCTGCTTTCTCCAATTTAAAAGGTATACATATCAACCCTTATTGTCTATTACGTTTTTATAACTTCGTGATTTATAAAAAGATCCTTAAAGTGGACTTCTTTACACTTTGATAAGTGTCTACCTGAAGATGCTTTAAAGCTATTCTGCAGTGACGACCAGCCGACGTGTCGCTGTCAGCTAATGAACATGGACATTAATATGGTCGCCATAATCTGGGCCTCTCCCACAGCCTCAACAAACAGCTCGATAACAGAGGGGACAGAAAGATGAGAACAAAGGCAGTGTCGCCAACAAGAAGGCAAACAAATGCTAACACTGCTGCTACCGCCAAAAAACGCCCATCCCACAATTTATTGCCCCTTTCTAACACTTATTCAACGTTTTCATCATATACCGACCAGCCACACCCCCTGCCAAAAGACCCAGAATGTGTCTGTGTGATGAGGTGGGGGATTAAAGAAACGAAGCAACAAGATCGGCCCTTTCTTTTTCTTAAGAAAGACTAGAAATGAAGCTTTGTGCACGTCCGCTGCTGTGGCACATTTGAAAAGTCTGGCCTGGCTGCTTTTGTGTCACCGACATAATGGGGATTGAAGGAAAACACAAACTGAACCACTGTGCCGTTGTGGCGCTGGCTATTAGTCAACGTGACGGCCTTTGCAGATGCTAATGGTGTATAGTGTGTCCCGGCCGGCCTCCCTCCTCCCAGAACGTGGCTATCTGATAGCACAAAGGCCTTCTGCTGGAGGTTGACTTTTCCCCCTTTCTTTTCACGGCTGCTACAGAGTCATTAGGCCTTTTTTCACTCCCCTTCCCTTGTTTTTGAGAAACCAGGGGATATAATGGCCGCAGAGAAAGTTGACGTGAGACAGTTATCTCTGTGTGTAAAGCCTCAGGTGATGGTAGAGAGGATGAGGCCTCTACAACCACCCCCTCCCCACTGTGCTTGGCTTTGAGCAATGTGGAGTAACAACCGGGCTCTTGTGAAAGAAGAGAGGATGCCCAGGAGTGGAGGACCTCTGGACTCTGACTTATTAATCAGGCAGGCCCTCAGCTGCCTCTCCATGGCTGCTGCCTCGGGCTGAGACGTGTCTTCAGCCTGCTCACGGTGGAGAGAACAGCCTGCAGAGTCAAATACTCTGAGGGTTTTAACAGACTGGGAGCAGTGGCCTCATCACAGGAGCACACAGGTCACTACATCCAGCTACATGCAACACAACTCTCAAAGGATGGGAATAATGCAATGCTGTAAAGGTGACTGCCCTTTAACTTCTGTATTTCTTTAGCTAAACATCTATGCGATCCATTGCCATTACTTTGTAGAGAAATCTATCGCCCCCAAAGGATGATTCGTGCAAGATTAGGAGATCTCTTTATTGCAGGGATACTCAACCATACTTTGCCTGGGGGACACTTTAACAAAATGACAGGAGGCCAGGGGCAAGCAAGTAACAATTGGGGATTAGCAAACATGATGTCCACATTTAATGTGTGTGTCTAAAGACATCCCATCAGCTTAAGCTCTTTGTTTGGTGCCAATTAGCAAATGTTAGCTTAGCTGGAAACAATGATTTGTGAACCGTTTGGAAGGTCAGACAGGATCAGACAAAATTGAAAAAATGTCCACACGAGCTGCTAATGAAGATCATATATGAGTGGAAGAGCTAATAAATAAACGTATAGGTTAAATTGTTTTGGTCATCTTCTCGTCAACAATTTATTTGAGTGTTCTCAGTGAGCGACTTCAAATGTGCAAATGGATTCACCACTGACGGGACAAGCTGACACGACATGAAAAAGCTATGTATTTTATTTATTTCAACTTTATTTTCGCTTTTAAACACAAATTCAATAAATAAAGCACATCTGATGGGGTACACCATGCAAACATTACTTTCTACAACATAAAACATTGTTTTGAACCAACTCACTGTTTCTGTTACACAAGTTGCTCCCACATGCTGTACATGATAATAGCTCCATGACCCTCCATTAACTTTTCCTGTACAGAATGCATGGCCTATTATATAATATATATACCCATATACACATGAATGAGTGGATAGGGTTAACACAGTCACTCACCCTTCTTTCTATCAAACACGTTTTCAAGCTAGGAGTAGTGAGAGGATGCCAAGGTGAGGGAAGGAAAGAGTCAGGGTAGTTCAAATGATGGAGGAACATGGGAGATAAGGGGTTTCGGATGAAAGCAAGGAAGAAGATTGTGAGAGGTGGAAAGACAAGAGGAATAAATGAGCTGACCAACACAGTGTATGTGTTGGTCAGCTCATTTGTACATTTAACACATACACCTTAAGTTAAAAATTACCCACCAGCATTTTGGATAATTTCCTGTCCTAGCTTTGGATATAGTTCCAGTTAATTTACAAACAGAGACAATTATTTCCCTTGGTTTTCAGGTGTTTGAGCTTATCCATGAAGCAGCTATCGGTATAAGATCTTAATGACCATTCAGTCACAGTCAGGAGAGAATAAGTGGATAAATACAAGTGCACCTGTGCTGTGTACATGATCATAGGCATAACTGCGCTGAATATAAACCAAGGAAATCCAACTTGGTGAGATTGGAAACCATTGAGACGCCCAAACTTCCCCTAGTGTAACTGCAGCAACTAATCATGATAGAGCGGGAAAGACTGAAGCCCAGGTCCAATGTTCAGACGTTAAAACTGACAGATAATGTCATAGCTTCTGAAAGTCTAATTGAAAGTACCTCTAAACTGCTTCAGGGTGTATTTTTGTATTTGTTATAATGACATCTTTAACTGATGATGCAATGTGGCTTTTGAGTATTGATGTCTGCAACACCTCAAGTTAACTAACTGGAAGCATCCACAATTAAATGGTTGATTACAGTTTAATATATAAAGAGTGTTTACTAATTCTTTTTTTTTGGAAGTTGTATTATGAGCTTAAAGTTGCAACATAGGAAGAATGTTAATGTACAATGATGGAAATGCAAACACCACACACACACACACTGAGACAAGGACAGAAATAAAAGGTAGCATGAAGGGAGGATGATGTGTATTTGGCAGACATATATACATAGTAATGTTGAATAAACGCCGTAAGTTCAAAATAATACGAAATATATTTATACATAATATTGTTTCCAACGCCTTCAGAGTTGGTAGTATCCTTTTTGTTGTTGTGGTGTTACAATGGAGAGTTTTGACGGGAGGGAAACTGAATATTTAACCAATAATGACTCAAGGTTATTATATGTGCTGAAACTAAACACTGTCTCATTTAGGGGGAGATGGAGCATAAATGTAGAGCATAGCTGCAGCTTGGAGGGATAAAGTAAGTGCTTGGGATCAGTGCAACTAAAAAAACGTATGTTAAATAGAGGCTAATTGTTGTGTACCAGGAAGCTATCATGTGAGGTGTGAGTGAAGACAGACTCTTCTAATGAACACAGACACGTTCTGCTGAAGAAAACTGGGGAGATTAACATGTACACAATCCTCATTTATTGAAAATGAGAGGTCAGATGTCTGATAACACTGTGCATGCTTCTCATTCTCCTCGTGATCTCACTGTGTTTGGGGCTCCTGTGCAGAAGTCCCCCTTTTGACCCAGGACAGTTTGCAAGAGATCAAGCAAATCAAAGTGAAAGCTTGAAAACGGTTTCCTTTAGTTCAGGTCCATCTTCCCATCAGCATCAAAGGGGGACAGCACGCCAAAGATGGGGAATTAAAATCAAGTGAGTGGTGCGGTCAGGCTCGGCGGGTGATGACGGTCATTTACAGGTTTAGTTTTCTTCGTTCAGTGCATTTCTCTGCTGTGATCCAATTTACTTTGAATGGTTCTGTAAGGAGAAAAAAAAAAAAATCAGATGCACATATAGTACACAGTCACTTTATTACCATATTTAAGATCCCTTTACAACACTTTTAATACTTACTTTTATTTATTAACTGTTCAATTCATAATCCAATAACAATTTTATAGAAGTGTGACTGATGTTTTTGGTCAATTGCCTTTACAGCACAAAGACAAATACCTGGTTCTCTTATTTCTCCTTGTGAAGAGCTTCGATGAAGGCTTCAAGTTTCTCCTGGATCTCACGGACTTTCTCTGCAGAAAAGCACACCGAGTATAATGGTTAGTCAAAGCCCTGATAAATAAATCAAAATACAAAAGATTGAATAGAAACAATGTCAATTCATTCATTAGACTACCTACAGAAATGGGCTTTCATTTGAATAATCCATATAATCAGTTTAAGTTATTTTTCAAGAAAGATATTATTTTATGAATGTGAACATTTGCTGCTTTTCTTCGTCTTCTAGGATCGCCATCTGTACAGAAAATTAATCAGCATCTACTATTGTAATTTAGTGATATTTACGTCATCTTTTAAACAGGAAAGTCAAACAATCTCTCACATTTTAATGTATTTTGGACTTCAGCTTGGCTTGTGGAAACGGCATGGGAAATTCATTTGTACTTTTACCTGTTAAATATTCTAAACAAACTAATGGATTAACAGAAAAAAAACAATATTTATATACGTCAACTATAAAATAATAATTGGTCCTTGAATGCTGAATGTCTTGGTTTCTGGACAATTTCTTAACATCACAAATGTCCAATTATTAATAATCTGAAAAATAATTGGCAGATTCATGGTTAATTGTTACGATTGATATCTGCAGCTCTAACCATTTCCAAAAGCATCAACTAGTTTCCTTCAAACAATGTCAACGTGGGTGTTTTTCTGTATAGATTAGTCACTAAAACACAATAGGTGTTAAATAAAGCAACAGGTGGGCAGCAGGTCATAAATCTGCTCTTTAAACAGAAAATATAAAACAATATTTCCTTCCCTTGGCTATTCTTCTGCAGGTAGAAATTCCCTCACATTTCCCCCCAAAACAGCAGATGGTCCCCTGTGACAGTGACAGCCAAACCTCAAGGCGGACCACCGTCACACATCTGATGATGAAGGCTTGTGTACCCTTTCCAAGTTAGCACAGACCACATCAAAGCTCCCCCCCCCCCCCCCCCTCCTCATGGTATGTACCTTACGGGCACATTGCTAATGGACACAGGGAGATACCATAACAACAACATTTCACATGAAAGGGGGGGAATCTACTGGAAAAACAATCATTCACTTCTTTTCTTGACTTCCCTCCCATTGTCCGAAGACTGCAAAAGACGAGCGGTCCTTCCACCCAACATGTACTGTCACACGAGAAGAGCGAGCCTCTAAAGCAGTCTTAATCGCTGATTAAACAGTGGCTGGAGGAAGTCTGTGGGCCCACACAGAGAAAAGGCTCGCAGCTGCACCTCCAGGCCTGGCTGGCTCTTCCCCGTCACCCACCCTAATCTGTCTGGATCTCCCCCAAGCACAAACTCAAACAGCGACTGAAAAACAAACTAGCACTTCTCTATCTTGATCAATCAGCCACACGAGATCCATAGGCGACCTATTGTTGGTTATTTTCCCAATGAAAACACAGCTTTAAATCGGACTGGCCCGTTTTCAGCGAGATAAATCATTGTGGTTTGGACTCCAGCGCTACAGTGTCCTAAGTGTCCATTTCAAGTCGGCACAAAGGTGATAACTGTGAGCGTGCTTTGGAGTGAAACTAAATATGGTACTCGGGGGCTTGTGTGCAGCCCCCTTTTGATGGAGCACGGCTGCTGATGTATCCTTTTCCTGATGGATGAAAAGCACACGGTTGTTGGGAGAGATGCAGGCACACCCCCACACACGTCCTGAAACACTAGCAGAGCTGGACACAGTCACACACATATATCCACTCACAGGTAGGCAAAAAAAAAAAGCTTGGCCCTGAAAGACACACAGACAGAAATGCCAATGTCTCAAAAAGCAGGTAGAGCTGTGCAGTCAAGCCCCCTCCACCTTTTTTCACCTTCCTACACACTCAGCGCTGGCAATAAAAAAATCCCCCACCTTTGATACTCTGTTAACACACTCAGGCAAAATGGCAGGGCGTCAGGTGGAGATTACAACACCTAATGGAGGCATTAAGGGGGCCTGTCGAGGGGCATGCTGACAAGTCACTGCAGCAGGTGTGGGGTTGAATGAAACGTAACCCTGCAGTGTGCCATTCCAACACTCAGCCCACCGCAGGGCACGGCTCAAAGGGAGCTGACAGAGTTCAGTGTGGGCTGCGTGCCCTGACCACAGAACAACACAGCTCAATCCAAGCCAATCAGAGCAGGATTACCAACATCTGTCCGACCTGAACAGAAAGAGATGTGTGGTACGGGGGTGGTGTGGGGAAAGGAGGGTACTGCCTGTCAGATCATCAAAACACGGGAAATCCCCTGTCTCAGGCTTCAAAGCTTCTGAGTGGGTTTAGATGTGGCTGATGATAAGGTGCTCTGTGCAGCCTCAGTGCTTCACATGCAGACCGCGGGTCAAACATTAAGGACCCTGCCAACTGTAGGGCAGAGACACCAAGCTCTGCTTAATCACCTGGGGCAGCAGCAGTTAGATTAGAGGGCTTTTGACAAGAAAGATACAGTTTTGATTACCAAGATTGACAGGGAAAGTTGGCTGGGAACGGGAAAATCAATCAATTCAGCAAACCATAGAACAAAACTGTGTTTGTGCTGGCAGCTCTTGTAAAGAAAGGTAAAGAAAACTACTTTATATGCTCTCCAATCAAATGTCACTCATCTCACTCAGAAGGCATTACACTGCACAATACATGACACCTCTTATTCAACTTCAGAAATGAGGTTGACTGGTACTGCATGAAAAAACATGTACAGTTCAATTTTCCTTTTGGAAGGGAGAAGCCAACAGAAACAGAATGGAAATATAAAGGAATATAATTACATTTTGGAGTAAAGTGTAAAGTAAATATTGCAATAAGTATAATCAGTGTCAGAGATGACTTCCAGTTTCATCCAAGCAAAAGACCTCCTCTGCCCCCTCCCATTGTTTGACACAATATTAAGAAAAAGCGCAACCATTATTTCCTGATATACAATTAGGCTTGAGTTTAACCTGCCGCTGGCTACCTGTGCAGGCACTTTCACCATGACCTTCTGAAGAGAAGACCTAAACCTAGATGAGAACAGAAAAACCTTCCCTTACAGCGGGATGCTTAATGACTTTGAAATGAGCCCTCAGCAGCTTCCAGGAGCCCAGGGGGCCACCAGTGAAAGTGAATGGTGTCTTTCAGAAAAGCTAATATTCTGCTCAAAGCAGACCTTATAGCCTTTGCAACATTACTAGCAAGACGTCTTAGTCTAACAAGATGGAAATCACCAACACCACCTTCCCACACTATGTGGATAAAGGACATTTTTAATCATTTGCAGCTTTCCATCCGTTACACATTGAGAGGCTCCTCCGGGAAGTTCCGAAGTGTCTGGGGGCCTTTCTTTGCCTATGCAGGGAGGATGACCTTCCCGGATATTCCGGAATAAGACCTGAATATGTATGTATGTGTGTATATATATATATATATATATATTTTTTAAATTATTTTATATGTATATATATATATATGTATATGTGAAACATTTTTATTTTATTTATTTGTACTCTTACCTGAAGAGAATGAGGTTATGTGTTTGTTTGTATTTTGTTGTGTGACCAAGCCGACTGTTTTTTTTTTGTCTTGTTGTAACGTTTCATATGTTATGTGATCTGCACAACTGTAATGTTACACTGTCAATCACAACCGCTCTGTCATCTCTGTTTAATTTGTGTACGAAAATCAATAAACAAAGTTTATAAAAAAAATAAAGAAAAGCCAATATTCTCTGAATAAAAACTGTGAGAAACAGATATTTATTTCCCCCACACCATCTGTTTGTCACCAAAAGACAGCAGCCAGAGGAAGAAAAGGCCACAACAAGGCTTTTCTTTCCTCTGTCCTTGGAAATGCAACAAAAAAAACAGTGGACAGAGTCACCATTGCCTGTTGCTCACTGCAGTGGGAGTAGCGATCTAAAACTCCATTTAGGCTCCTGTTTACCTAAGAGATGAGCCCCAAAACACAGTCATTCAACCGCTCACCCCTTTATCTGGTCATGAATATTCCCATAATCCTCTGGCCTCTATCCCAGAGGCCCCTTCTTTAAGATGCTGGGTGCTTTTGGGTTGGCGAGGATGGAGGGACTCTTGCCCATTCAGAGAAAGAGTGGGGAGCTTTTCCCCCCCAAATTCCCTCTTTCAGGGCCTTCTCTCGGCTGATCTCCACATGAAATGATATCTCATTCACTCTCACTCTGTCGAGTCTCCTAAGCTTGCTGCGGCCGAAGCACTGGCAGAAGGAGGGCAGAGCCACAAAGCCTTTAATTGACCTGTAATTAGACTGTGAAACTGCGTGGCCCTGCTGGACAAGTAGCCAACACAGGAGAGGGGGAACAGAGGAGAGGAGAAGATGAGAGTAAGGGAGGCCTGCAACGTACTGTGAGATAGAAGAAAACTAATCCTCTTACTTTGGGAGATAGCCACTCTCCTGTAGAGAAAGGGTAGCTGTTGTGGAAAAGTGGCAACAGAAAGATTTTAGCGGATGAAGTTTGGTCCCAAGGTTGAGGCAGTTCACAGCGTGGTCACCTGAGAGAGTGATTCTGAAGGTTTGGTTCCTGTCCCAACCTGTCAGCATTCATGAACAAACATTTTTATATTGCATGACTACCAGGGTCACAGTGTAGGTGGGGACACTGAATTGTTTTTAAGGCTCTGCTGTTTCCCCTCTTTGAAAGCCAATCTCTTAATGTAACAAACAGAAAGGCCTTTTTCCTCAGCTTGCTGCTTGATTTGTCACTAAATCTGGATTGCAATGCTATAAAACTGGGCCATGGGAGACATGGACACAAGGAGAGCGGGGATGTCGACGGCCCAAACGCCATGTCAGTGACAGAGCAATGAATCAGCCCTCGCACTCACGGCTCTTATCTAGAAAACAGATGCCTGGGAGTGAGCAGCCCAACCTGGGGAGAGACATGCGTAGGTCTGAACAGGTCAAAGTCTGGGGTCAGTCACAGGGCAGGCTGAACAAAAAAACAGCAACATGCAGAGAAGAATCCTTTGAAAGAGCCAGGTGACGACTGCCGTTGTCGGTGTGTTATTGTTAAGC